TCATGATAATTTTTTAAAAAAAGGATAAATGTACATATAAAATTCTTGTTTTACATAAATATCAATAAAATGGTCGGGTGGGGGGGGGGGTTAATAAAAGGTTGAGAAACGCTGGTATAGAGGTTAAAGTTGCGGTTGGAGTGAAAGGGTGAGGGTTTTGGAGGGGGTGTAATTAGGTTCAATCCATCATAATAGCATTATGTATCACGTGGCTTTGGATAGTTGGCCATCAGACGAGCCACTAAACGTCTGACACACGAATAGCACACACAACAAAGTCTTATAGGCAGAGGCGTAGAAATGGGAGGGGGGTGCGGAGGATGCGTTCCGGGCGGCACGATTTTCATTATATGGAGAGGAGCAATTTTCGATGTCAGATGTGCGGAAAATGTCTCGCTAACTCTAGCTACGCCACTGCATTTTGGGAATAAATATTAAGCATACATATTGTGACATGGAATTTCCAGAGCAGGAAAAGAAGTATACATCTCACCGTTCGTAGGGGATGGATAACAATTCTCAAAATATTGACTACATTAGCAATTCTTTTTGTATAAACATTGTAACCAGACAAAAAAAATCAAACAATGACATCTTTACAACTTTATACTCATGTTTACTGAAAGAATGACTCAGGTTATCATTTCTATAAACTCCATCTTGTTTGGCAAATGACAGCCACTTGGATGTCTGTGACCTGCTGTTGCTTAGTTACATTGTAAAAATATACATTATACATATAGACGGTAACTAATTAGAGCAGGGTTCTCAGCCTAGGGTCGCGGCCCCTTTGGGGTGGAACCACCCTTACACAGGGGTCGCCTAAGACCATCGGAAAACCCAAATGGAGTAGCATCGAAAATAATTGTATGTTTGGGAGTCAACACATTAGGAACTGTATTAAAAGATCGCGACATTAGAAAGGTTGAGAACCACTGCATTAGAGGTATCATATAGTTGTGTGATACTTAGATACATGATACTCAAAAAAAACGCGTTTAATTTATTTGATTGAAGTATACTTATATGAATTTTTGTTGTTGTTGTTGCGTGTATACATTGGAAGGCAACCGCCAAAACGTTAACATTCACATTCAATCTTCTATGTGATCGTTATTTACGCTTAACCAATATTGTTTGATTTACACAAATTCTTTGCCTCTCATTTATCTAATTAACAGATTTATCGCAGTCCCACACCGCTATAATGATTTAACTCTTTGATACCAATGTACTGTAATTTAAAAAAATATCATTTCTCCTAACAAGCGATCTTTATTGTGCACATTGCTTCACTGCAGACCTATATAAAAAAAATAATAACTCACCAAGAAAAATTGTATGATATATGTAGAATTATCACAAAATATGTTGGGAGGGGGGGGGTAAGTCAGCTGTCCCTATCAACAGAAAAGCAATTTACTACGACAAGCCACTACTGATCTGTGCCATCTTAAGATTTAATGCAAAATATCGCATCAAACAGAGCTTTTCAGCTGAAAGACCAACCCATAAGTACCTTATAAAATACTGATTACGCAACAAGTCATTCATTTTCAGACACAATTTCTACTTACTAAAAAAACTTACTTTTTTCCAACCTCTGTTGCGGTACACTTGAAACAAATCTTCCTAGAACATGTTCACCAGCAAATGTTCGCTAATGCTGTTCAAACCAGGATATCCATTGTGCTATTTTTAGACGCCACCCATTGCTGGAGTTTGCTTAAGTTCAACTTATGGGACATCCTAGAGAGGTTGGGGGGGGGGGGGGGGCTGATGTGAAAAAACATAAAAAA